AATCCGCCGTATCGGTTCATCGCATCGGAAACAAAAAAGCAAAAGAATTTGAAACGATGTTTTTACAATATTTCATTCATTTGTATACAGTCAGTGTCAGTGAATAGTGGTATCTGTTGCGTGGCTCAAACGAAATAAAAAATGGCACATGTTTATGCGGATCGGTTTCCCAATCGAGTGCAACCAACCCCTCGTGCCTTTGTTAATGTAGTACAACGGGCTCGTGAATCAGGTGACTTAAGACCTCACAGGAGACCTCACGATCAAATACAGGTCCGCACTGAAATACTTGTCGGGAGGATACGTTATAAAACAAGGTAAACATTTTTTTTTAATTTTTTTTTTATTTTTACACACATATTTTGGTTTATCTTCCTTCTACAATCATTATCTGAAAATTAATGACTCAACTTCAAAGATATATTGTTTCTCTACAAATTTTTTCAGGATCTGTGTGAAACAGGAAGTGATTATCTTATAAATCGTCTGTAAGCAAGTTATCGATCGGTATTGCCCTTAGATATAAGATAAGTTTTGTCTTCTGTGATAAATATTGGTATTTTGTTCGGGTCTTTGATGAGCTCATTGATGAAATGTGTGAATTTTTATATCAATAATAATTATGAATATTGTCAGAACAAGGACTTTTCCAACTGTGGGTATTCCCAATAACTTCTGATACTAGTTCTCTTGTTATTGCGGGTTCTTCCATAGGTGTGAGTTCGTTTTTTTATGTACCGAAGCAGCCGCGTAGGCCGAAGCCTAAATGCCGGGACACCGGGGCAGCTATGGCGATCCCAAATAAATTTTGTTAATCCGATTTTTGAACTGCCTAAGGTTAGTAGAACTGGGAAAACCTTCCTCTTGTAGATTGTTCCACCATCTCGACACCCTTGGGACAAAGGAGCGCTCGTATCGGCCAGATCTGGATGTACGAAGTTCGACACGGTTAGGATGGGACGCCAAAGTCAGGCGGGTCTGTCTGGCAGGCACATCGCGCGGCGACATCATGGAAGAGAGCTCTGTTGAGGAAAGCCCGTTGGTGTAGCGATAGAAGAGAGCTAGATCGCCGATGGCCCGCCGGTGCGAAAGGGTCCCGAGACTGTCTGTTAGAGAAGAGACATCGATCAGACGGACAGCATCGTGCATAAATAATGTAGTCGGGGCGGCAGCACCCCAAACGTGTGAGCAATACTCGAGGCTAGGCCTTATCTGGGCCTTGCATAGAGTGAGAAGGTCATGCGGAGAAAAGTACTTTTTAGCCCTAAACAAATAACGCCGAAATGAATGGCTCTTTGGCAGCTAGGACGCTTTTTGTTCGTCAAGGTACAATACTGTGTTTTGGAAGCATTAAACATTTAAACTGTACTGTAAGATTCTTGCGTCATCAAGCAGTGATAACCTCCAGGTCTATCGTCAGAGAGGAAGTCTTCGTTTTTCCAGCTCAGCAGAGATCTTATACTTTTAACTATCTTCCCGACTCGTTTCTTAACATTTTTATCCAAGAATAATTCTTGCCATTTCAAATGGCACTTCTGAATTTTCATTTTTCTGATCTAGATCGGTTTAGCGTCTATCAGAAGATAGTAATTTTTATTTTTAAAAGTATGCAATCAAAAGTAAGAACCTATAAATTTTATTATAAGTTAATGTATTTTTATGCCAAATAAAAAACCTATAAATGCATAAAATATCTAAAGCACGATCCAACAATACACCTTACCCTATCAAGGCTGGAGGATGTCTGTTTTTTGTAAAAGAAATAATTCTCAATGCTACATACTTTCAAGTATAGGCAAAAATAGCTATTTTTGCACTATAAGGGTGGTATATCTCAAAAAATAGAGAGATTTGGGCCACGTATTAGGATTGAGTGTATCAAAAACCTTCGGAAAAATATTCTTTGGCTTTTGGGTAAGAGGCTCGGCTCGCTTTGGTTGGCTTGAAAAATTCCAAAATAAATTTTGAAAAATCGTGAATATCTTTGAAATGTTCATAATATATACGGGGTGTTCCGTACTGATATGGGAATATTTAATGGTGTGAATCTACAAGAAAAATTAATGTCAGTTTGCTTTATAAACTATGGTCTAAAAATGTTTCCTTACAAAAACTCGGGGTGTTGAAGTTTTAGGAAAAAAATGGAAATTAATTAATAATTTCAGAACCGCTTCAGATATTTCACTGATATTTAATACGTAGTGAAAGTTAATAAATTTGCATATTTTTCAATGCAAAAATAATTTTTTTAACAGTGGTGTGCGTACGGGTATTGACTTCTATATTTTTTAAGAAAAAAATGGTACGCCAATGGTTTTTTGCCAAATAAAAATTATTTTTGAATTCCCCGTTCAATTTGAAACAAATGATCTCTTTTGAATTACCTTCGATGCGCCATTTTTGAGTAAAAAAATAAAAACCGTTCTATTGTCCGAGAAAATTAATGTAATAATTGAAGAATGCAATTTAACAATAAATATCTAGTTGCTCTGGAATATGTCAGTGGCTTTTGACACCTGACAAGTCTCTGTTTGCTGTGACATTTTTCTCATGATTTAGTGTTTACAACCTTGTTAATAATGGAGAATTATTCAAATGCAGAAATGGCGGAAATGCATTACGTATATGGCCTTGCCGACGGTAATGATGAGCAAGCCAGACGGATTTATCACCAGAGATATCCCGAAAATGCTTTGCCAGATAGTCAAACCTTTTCTAATATTCATCTTCGTCTTGTTGAAGCTGGTTCTATCCGAAAAGGAACATCTGAAGGTATACCTCTAAGTGTGAAAACACCTGAAATTGAGGAAGCAGTGCTGCACGAAGTCGAAGAACATCCTGAAACGATTACGAGGAAGATCGCTAGATACTTGAATAGTTGCCAACAAATTATTTGGAGAATTTTAGTTGATTTTTTGTTGACTTCGAAGTTGAGTCATTTATTTTAACAGTGAGTAGATCTGATCAAAAGAAATGTTTTTTCCTTTACCATTTTTCTGGTAAAATTAAAGTAACAAAGTTATAGCCCTTTGGAAGTTTGAGTACCGTCCTGTGTCAATAATAATATTATGTGCTCGTGTTTGGCAACAACGGATATAATCCGCCTTATCGGTTCATCGCATCGGAAACAAAAAAGCGAAAGAATTTGGAATGATGTTTTTACAATTACTTTATTCAGTTGTATACAGTCAGTGTCAGTCGGTAACGTGTGAGTGAATAGTGGTGTCTGTTGCGTGGCTCAAACGAAATAAAAAATGGCACATGTTTATGCGGATCAAATACTTGTCGGGAGGATACTTTATAAAACAAGGTAAAATTTTTTTTTAATTTTTTTTTTAATTTTTACACACATATTTTGGTTTATCTTCCTTCTACAATCATTATCTGAAAATTAATGACTCAACTGTATCCTTACCATATTTTAAGAGTACAGGCATGACTTCCCATTGATTTTCCAAGGCGTGTGACCTTTTGTCAGTGGAATCTTCAAGAAATTACACAAAATCCGCAATTTGAATCAATGATTCTGTTCACGGACGAAGATAATTTTTCTCGAAATGCTATTTAGAATTTCCACAATAATCGTTTGTGGGCAGAAGCCATAACCGAAACCCATTCCCAACACCAATTTTCGGTTAAAGTATCGGCAGGAATTATTGGCAACCACTTTATTGGCCCATTCCTCTTGCCGGGACGACTTGACGGACAGACTTACCTCAATTTTCTTCAACAACAGTTGCCTTTTCTGCTTGATAATGTTCCGTTAGTAATAAGAAACAATATGTGGTATATGCATGATGATGCACCAGCACATTTCAGTGTAGCGGTTCGTAATTGTTTACAAACTGTTTATCCAAATCGTTGGATTGGTCGCGGTGGGCCCCAAGAATGGCCACCGAGGTCCCCAGACCTCAACAGTTTAGATTTCTTTTTGTGGGGCTATCCTAAGACTCTAGTGTACACAGGTCTTATTAACACTGTAGAGGAATTAAGAGATATAATAGTTGCAGCTTGTGATAGAATAAAGAACACTTCAGGGATATTTCAACGAGTGCGCAATTCCATGAGAAGGAGGGCGGAAGCATGCATACTAAGTGAAGGGGACCATTTTCATCAATTCTTGTAATCATTTCGTTGGTTTTAATGTTATGTTTACGTTGTCAGTTGTTGTTCATTGCCCCTAATAGAACGGTTTTTATGTTTTTACTCAAAAATGACGCATCGAAAGAAAACAATTCAAGAAAGATAATTTGTTTTAAATTGAACGGGGAATTCAAAAATAATTTTTATTTGGCAAAAAACCATTGGCGTACAATTTTTTTCTTAAAAAATATCGAAGTCAATACCCGTACGCACGTCACTGTTGAAGCTAAACATTATTTTTGTATTGAAAAATATGCAACTTTATTAACTTTCACTACGTGAATATCAGTGAAATATCTGCAGCGGCTCTGAAAATATTAATTAATCTCCATTTTTTTGCTAGAACTTCAACACCCCGAGTTTTTGTAAGGAAACATTTTTGGACCATAGCTTATAAAACAAACTAACATTAATTTTTCATGTAGATTCACAACCTTAAATATTCGCATATCATTAGGGAACACCCTGTATAGGGGACGGGGGCAATCATCTGCGAAGCCACTTTCTGTGGAAGTTGTCCTACCGTCAAAACATTTTTGAAGGGTGGAGGGGTAACCAAATTCTACCAGCCGAATCAAATCCTAAAAATTCACAAAATTTTACACTAAAGCATGCTATCATCTTCAGGGGGGTAAGGTGCCCCTGGTACCCCTCTACGGGCGCTTATGGTCTTAGAAGGAATAAAGAAAGTGGCGGCGGCGCAAGAAGAAAGGCAAGATTGCGTTATTATTACGGTTAGATTTGCGAAAATCACATTTTGTTACAGATATCAGGTTAATAAATGGAGTTATGTCATATAAATGAAATACCATGTAAAGCTTACTCATAAGCTTCAACAGCTTAAAAAGTTCGCTCACCTGTAGAACACTCACCATGGAATGGCCCAGGTACTCTGCAGCATTATCTGATATGTACAGTAGTTTTCCATTTTGTGTCATCATTATCAAAAAACCACTTAGTGCCTGAAAAAGAAAAACATATCAGCTGACGATTTTTTTCAAAATTCGGTCAATTTTGGATTACAATGTATAATTACACAGTGCGCGGCTGACAAAATTTACAGATACAACTGTTGACATGGATGTGGAATGATTGATTTTGAATATCGTCTTTCAGCTGCAATTAGTTATGAATATTGATATCGTATTTTGGATGAAATCAGCTGAGTAGTCTACAGAAGAGTTGTAGACGATCAAAAGACCTCCAAAATGTTCAATTCACTGCAGCAGCTACCTATAGTCGAAATCACGAAAGATGAAGATTACGTCATTATTTTAGTCTGTATTAAAGACAAACCTCAGCGATTTCTGAATATTTTTAATGAAGTTTCAAATATGTTAGACAGAGACAAACAGAATTTTATTGTTTAAACAAACTGTATTGCTAATTTGCATGTATCCGACAAAGATAGACGATGTTTTCATGTTGCATGATCGATCATATTTGACAGATGAATAGTTAGGTTATGTTAAAGCAGGTTAGGTTGTTTTCGAATAATACTTTGGTCTTTGGTGTTGATGTCTTAAGGTGTATTCACTCATAACTGTTTTTTCAAAACAAAAACTCCCCACTAATTGTATTATTAAGGTATCACTTAAAACCATGAAATAAAATGAAAATATAAATAATCAGTGAAATAACCTAACTTCGCAAAATCATAACATACATTCATGAGATTGTGATTATATCATCGACGTACGTCCATTGATTACTTCAGTACAATTTATGGTATGACGTAATAGTAATCTTTCGTAAATAAAGGACATTGACCTCAAAAAAGTTTGTGGCAATTAGAGCATGTTGGGCATTTTTGACGTTTTCCAGTATTATATTGACGATTCATTGCGTTATTTCGAACAAATTTAAACGCTCCAAAAGCGAAGATGTCGCATTTGTAGATATAGATGGAAGTTAATGTAAGCATATTATAGTGTCTAAAGGTTCCTTTACAAGAGTCCCTCTTATTAATATTAAAAATTAACCTACTGTAAACAGATCGCTGGCAACACTGATTGACACCTAGTTGGTTTTTAGTGCCCAACGCGGGAGATTACACGATTACACAGAAGAGGATTGTCAATTTGAAATTCAAAATTAATGGTTTGGTAGGAGCAATTGCGAAACTGTAGCAAATTCATTACATAATAGTTCTGTGGCAGAATGACTGGAGAGTGGTTGGGGGGTTTACCAAGCAAAACACCGGCGTCAAAAACATTCGAGCCGACTCTGTCGAAAACTATCAGAAATGGAAAACGTTACCAGGCTCGGGTTTCTCCAGCTTCCAGAGTTTGTTGTAAAATTACTGGTGTAATGGTATGATCTAGTGGACAAACGCCCTAATGCATGTTAGTTGTAGAGTCAATTAAATAGACGTCATTTTTTTCTTGTAGATGGTCAACCAAGCTAAGCAGACTTGGCGCATCAGCATAAATGTTAGTTCCACGAGAGTACCTGTTTAATTGACGGTATGATTTCATGGTGAAATAAAGCCAGCCAACCGTGTAAAATGCTGCGTTTAAAATAAAATTAAACCTGTGTCCAGTTATGTTAAGCTAAATACCCTATTATGTTGATGACATCTCTGTATGAATTTGAGCCTGAGGATTTTTACTCGTGAGTCAGTAAGATTGTTCTTGAAATTATAATAAGCATATGTCGCTCAAATATTTCACGCATCCTAGCGGAAACGTAATTTTAATTATGTGGCATGTCCAGAGTGTTTCCAGTCATGGAACAAAATTTCTTTGTACTTTTCTGAGGTTACTCTGTTCCCTTTTTTCGATTTTCGAAGTACGTTAGACACACGTCCATATGGCACAAATTGGTCCAATGGGAAGGTCTTAGTAACGTATGTCCTAAAAGTTTTGGCTTTAATTATAACAAACATAAAATAATATCATGTTGCCTTTGGAAATAAAAAAGCAGTATTTCACTGTAAGTAACTCTGAAATGAAGGGAAACAACGTAGAGGAATGCCTTGACAATATAAAAAACAAACATAAAGCGAAATTTGCAGATAAAATCCTTGTCTAGTGCGCAATTTCTAATAGGGGTGTATCCCAACCTTTTGTGGGAAGATTGAGGGGTGAAGCTTTCAATAGTCAGAGCTATATTGATAACTGCTTTTCCAAATTGCTTCAGTTTGTCGATGAACATCATGCTAATGACCATATCATGTTTTGACCAGACGTAGCATCATGCCATTACTCAAGAGATATCCAAAACTGGCTTCGACAACATACCTTCTGTTCCCAAAAACGATAATCTGCCAAACTTGCCGCAGACTCATCCAGAAGAGGATTTTTTGATTTACTGTCTGGGAAGGTTTATCATGGAGGCTGGGAAGCCCAAGATGAAGAACAATTAAGACGGCGACTTTACGAAAAACTGAGAGAAATTGATCGGAATTCCGTCCAGGCTCTGATGAGGGACATTGCAAGAAAGTTGCGTCTGGTAGAGCAGAATGGGTCACTCTACATAATTCGATAGTATAGTTTGGTCAACTATTGACTTGTAACTTATGATAAATGGTTAGTGTTTAAATAAATTTCTTCAATAAAAAAAATATTTTGTGCCAAAGCTTTTAGGGTATACAATAGTAGCGAAGTAATGGATCTAATGAATTTGGTCGATTTCTCTCAAGATGTCTCTAGCGAAAAATTATACGATTTGTCTAAGACGAGCCCCAAATCCCCATATTAAAAAAATGCTTCAAAAGTCATCAAGTTTAGCTCCAAAAACCTATTTTTTTCATTAGTATCCGGACACAAAAGTTGACGTAAATTCCATCAATACAGATCAAACCTGATACAATAGACATGACGCCATTACTGAGCATTTTATTGGAAATAACAGTATTAACTGTTGCTATACAAAAGGTTGTTTAACAAACTTATTGAAGTCAAATAGAACTACAGAATGTTTATTCTTTAACAAACATTGAGTAAATAATCAATTTCTTTCTTACTGTTAACAGGCACTCTACTGGACGGTAGGACGACTTCAGGACCACGATGACATCCATGTAAGTAAATCGATTAGTTATTCGATGTTTATTAAAGGGTAAGCATTCTGGAATTTTATAAATGTCCTCGAAGAATTTATCAAGCAGAATTTTGTACAACACTGGGACACTTATTTTCAATAATATCCAAATTTAATCATATCAATCAAGATATTGTATCAGATTTGTGTCCATGCTTATTTCTCATTAGTGATCATGACCGCTAATTTAGCGTCCGGACGCAAACCGAGTGATTTATTTTTTTTATACTCCAACTACCACGAAGGCCTAAGCACCCATTGGGTACCGTTGGGCTATAGGGGGATACATGGGAAAGGGGGAACGCCACACGGACTCTGGCGAGGGAACACGTGTGCATGCAACATGCACACATTCTGGCTCCGCTTACGAGATCCGCCGGGTGGTACCTCCGCGTTCGACAGTCAGAGACCGTCTACCACCTACTTTCAATCACAACATCCATAGCCAAGAGAAAAAATTCTCCTGGGACGGGACTCGAACCCGCACAGCGCACGGCGACTGATCAGGAGACCGAAGAGTCTACTACTGCGGCCACCGCTGCTGCCTGAATCTATCCTAGGTCCTCTCTTATTCCTCATCTACACCTTCGATCTATATGCAGTAATGGAAAATTCTGAAATGCAATCTTTTGCAGACGATACCCAAATATTACATTATTTTAAAGCTAGTGAATTACCAACAGCTAATATAGAGCTACAAGATGATATTGACGTGGTTTGTAAATATTCAGCCAATCATAATTTGAGAAGTCAAGATTTATAGTTTTCTGCTGTTATGACGGATTTCTTGATTTATTGGAATTAGGGACTCACCTTACACAAACTGTTTACTAGTTTGAGAGACATTTTACAAGATATCGACCATATCTGTTAGATCCATTACTTCAAGAATGCTTTTTCATTAATTGGCTTGGCTTAGTAAAATCAGGCCCAAATTGACGCTTCATGAAATCGGTTTTTCTTGAAAAATGCTTACTAAATCAACAAAACTTAGACAGCGTCGTAAATAGTTTAAATCTCACGTGTACAGGGTGGCCGATATGTAACTGACCGGTTTGTATCTTGTATATTTGTGAAATGAAATAAAAAACGTCCAATTTTTATCTTAATCTTTTATTGACAAATAATAGCAGACAAACGTCTGCCTCTAGAAGCCGCACAAACCTGAGCCCTCTTGATTACATTTTCCATAATTTTTTGGTAGGTTTCGTAAAGAATATTTTCAATTGATTTCGTAATATTGTTCTTCAGCTGCTCTACAGTCTTTGGTTTGTTAGCATAAACCATATTTTTCAAAAATCTCCATAAAAATGCCAGGAGCCGTTAAATCCGGAGACCGTGGTGGCTAGTTGACATCACCTAATCGAGAAATTAAACGTCCCAAAAATACTGTTCGCAAGAGATTCATTTCCCTAGCTGTGTGACAAGTTGCTGCTGGAACCACATGTTTTGCAGGTTAAATTGTTAGGTTTGAGGAGCCTGAAAGTTTTGCACTATATCACGGTAGCGCTACCCAGTGACAATAAGAGAATTACCTGTAGCGTCTTCAAAGAAGTAAGGTCCAATGACACCTCCATACCAAACACCGCACGAAACTGTGACTCGGCGAGGATGTATGTAGTGGTGGTTCTTGAGAACTATGTCTGGTAGACGTCTCAGGGCGCTCCACTACACTTTTACGAACGATCTCGATATTTTCCGGAGTGTGAACAGTTTGAACACAGCCCGACCTCTGCAAGACTTTAATTTCACCTGTTTTTTCAATTTTCCGCACCAACTGATGGATAGTGTTGAGACTGGGCACATTATTTCGACCGAAATCTTGTCGTAACTTCCGAATCGTTGCAACAATCGACTCATTATTTAAGTAAAACGTTTTACGTGTTGTGGGATCGTGTAGCGCTTCATGATGAATTGG